AAGAGAGCTGGCTGTAGTTCATATAAGATCACATAGCTGTGTTTCCTTGGGAAGTTAATAGTGAATGCAAACATGACTGAAGAAGGAATGAATTAACTCAATGGAAGAATGTTTATCTTTATTCTTCTGGGAAAAAAAAGGCAGAAACATACATCTCTATTATATTAGCTTGCACTTTCACACAACAGGATTTTGTTCGTCATTCTCAGCCAGGGTCAGTAGCTGGCCCTATCCATACTAGTTATAAACACAATCAAGTGAAGAAGTGAATGTTTGCTGAACAACAGATCCAAACACCAGTAGAGATTTTTTTTTTCTTGCTAGATAAGTATCTTGGAATAGTTATTGTCCTAGTTTTAAGCTACCAGTGCTTAAATGTTTAAGAGTCCAAGATTTGCGATTAATTTGTTTCCCACTTGCCCTCCCCTCTTGCTGTGGAACACCAACCCATCCTTCTGCCTTCTGATTGCACAAGCCATGCAATAGCTTCATCAGAAACATTAACGCTTCATTTAGATGGAGGAAAGACCACAGAACTGTGTTTATCAAAGAAACCACAGGCAGAAAGCAAATGCCTAGTGGCAGAGTTATTTTGTTGGTACACCAAAGCCTACATTGTAGCAAGCCTTGTAAAACTGCTTGGGAAGAGGTCAGAAGAGATCCAGATAGTCAGTCCCTATGTGAGGGTGGAAGGACAGCTGCAATGTCTCTATAAAAGCTTCTCTCTGGAAAGTGAAATTCCAGTTTTATAAAGTTGGTGTCTTCTGAAAATACAGCTCAATGCCTGGTACGTGAGGCAGGGAAAAAATAAGGGGCAGTCTTTTATCTGGATTGGTGGCACTGCGCGTGGACCTGCTGGGAGCTACACTGTGATATTACCCTGCAATAGGGCAGCACGGCTAAGCTACCTGCCAGCTTAAGAGTAAGAAACTTGCAATTGCATCAGTTGTATTCATGGAAACTCCTTTTCTGGGATGCTTCAAAAAATGTAATAGCAAAATATAACAAGCACTCAGTATAACGAAGGACATAGAAACCCCTATGTGATTTTATAACAGATAGTTTCTGTAAGAAACAAAGATTTCCAAAGATAAGAGCTTTTCTTCTGCATTGGGTTTCTACACTGATGCAACTGCACTGCTTGTATCTGTGTTGCATCAGCATAAACCCATACTATATAGATGTGCTGCAGCGATGAGAAAGTGCTTTTTCCTGACTTACCCCAGAGAGAGCTTGTACAGATATTGTCACACAGGGGTAACTGCATGCTTGTTTAAAAACTAAACGTACAGCGCCCCATAATTTGGATCTCTGAGGAACCCAGAGCTCTTAAAACTCAGACATGCAAAGCTGAGCTGTGTTTGTAGCAGTTCAAGTAACAACAGCTCCAAGATTATTTCAAAAAACAGGCAGAAAATTCTTCATGCATGTGATGGTCTGTAACTGCAGCAGTACACTGCTGCATAGATTAATTTACAGGTACTTTCCAAGGCAAAACAATCAGTGCATATTGCATTAATATTTGTTTAAAGTAAACCAACCATATGATTTATGACTTAAATAAAATGCGATCAGTCCTTGGAATTACTGCTTTCCTTTGTAATGAGAGAGAGTATATACCTGGTACCTCAGCTGAGAACTACTTTTACAAAAATGAACTGTGACCTCCCTTCAGTTCACAGATGACGACTTTTCAAGTGGACATGCTACAAAATCAGAATTGCAACACATGCCACATTGTAGGATGTGCATCACCAGGAAAATCCCAAAGATAAAAACTTGACTTATGACTTATTCATAAAGGGGAGGAACTATGAAATCACATGTATTTTAACGTTTAAGGGCTGAAGAATTTTAAATATTATGCCCTGGGTGTCATTTCACATTTTGTTTGAAAGAGTACTGTTTATAACTGAAGCTGCCGTGTGACAAACTCCACTGACTTCAGGGAAGGCAAATTAGTACACAATATGGCCCAAAATCTTGCCCCCTTACTTTCCAACTGTCACCCAGACAGTCTTAGTCATTTTTCATTCAAATACTTTTCTGCTTCAGTACAGCTGAGGTTTCTCTTTTGCCTTCAAATCGTCCTAGAAATTTTAATCAATGATGTACAGATTACAATAACCATTTCAAATTAATCCTATAATTCAGTACATACAGGTTTTCAGGGGCCATTATTACCCCTACTGAAATGAAAACTGCACAGTTTTAAGTGTAACGTTGCTATCGTTTTGCTGTAATTAACTGCTGAAGATCTGACTTAAATTTATGAAGACATAGGTCAAGTTAATTGTCTTGTTGCTTAGAAAAAGAGAAGGAGAACTCAGTAGGGCTACTGGAGCAGCAGCTACCTACAGTTAATAAGGATTTTGAAGTACTGCTTTCCTGAGACCAATACAGCTTTGAAAATATGACTTCCCACAGCCTGCAGAGTTCCAGGAACAACGACTTGTTTCCAAAATGTCTGTGGATGAACAATGAAGCTGCTGCAATTATGTCCAAAGGCGTGCAATAAAGAGCATTACACAAAACTCACCAGGCTGAAGATTTAGAGTCTGGACTGCCTTCGTTTACTCAGAATGAGAGGCATAAATAACAGTTGCACATTTTTAAAAAATATATTCATGGTTTCAAAGATAAGCTTTCTTTCCAAAAGGAACAAAGGCCCTAATCCTTAAACGGAGTATTAGGAGTCAGGCACCTGATTACTTCTAAGGATTTGGCTCCTAAGCCTTGTTGATACGGATATTATTTTATTGATTCTAATAGGACAGATGTATCTCAGTAAGGGAATGATTTTTTAGATTAGACAAACCCCTTTCCACTCAGGCAGGAACAAGAATATTCAGTGTCATTGTTTCAGCTTGAATTCGCAGTAGGAACTTGAAGGGTCGAACTGTCCTTTGTAGACAAGATTGTGGGAATGTGGGAGTTTAAGTCCCTGTGTCAGTGGAATTTAGGTTGCTCGAGGCCAGATTTTTGAAAATATTTAAGTTAACGCAGATTAGTCAAGAATGGGACCTTGTCATGCAACCCTTACTAAAATCAATGCAGCTAGCTAATGAAGAGCTTTGGAAAATCCTACAAGGAACCTTCCTACTTCTGTGGACAGGTACCTAAGTTTAAAAATGAGGCTTACTAATCAATGTGAGTTAGGCTGGCCATATCAATCTGCAATTTGTTAGTCATGCAAAGTGCTGTACAGAGGAAATGGATTAGGGACATGTGAATTAAGACTCTAGTCTTGCAGTCATCATCCAATGCTTGTACAAAAACCAGATGAGTTTACCTCCTTATACATAAACATGAGGAAGCCAACTGAAGTTGTAAAACCCATGAACTAGCTAATCAAGCTATTTCTCCAATAGATTGTGAAAGAAAAAGAAAGGAGGATGTTGCTGCTGTTTCTGCCTTGAAAGTTGTAGAGGCACCTGAGGAGCAGGAGGGAATACAAAGGTTTGGAGATAGATGGGGGCTAGCGTTCTGTTTCGAATTTAGGTGTTGTGACAGCTGAGCTACAAGCGGGTTTTTGGCCCACTACTAATTTCTTTGTGGAAAGAACAGTTTAAGTTATGTGCAAAACGAAGCTGAGGGAAAAAAGAAGCTAGAAACGAGAACAGTATTAGCTGGATCTATTTTCTGAAGGAAAATTATCTACCTATCGCAGACCTCTGCCTTAAGATGAGACACAGCACCCTCCAGAAGTGCCTATTTCTCTACATCAACTATAGAGAGACTGCAAGATGCCAAATTTTCAGACCGCTTCAGCTTCTCAAGGATAAATCCTACCCCCTGAATCCCCCTGGCCTACCATTAATCTTCACTGTCCTTTGTAGCCATTAAAACAGCCAGCCAGAGTGAATGATCTTGTTACTTGGGGGTTCACGTATATTCAGAAGGACCATTCTGTTACAATTTCCTCCTTCTTCCAAACAGTCCTCTTTTTAGTTTTCATAACGTTTCTGGATTATACTGGTGATGTGGTTTCATATTCCTTTGCCCTACCAGCAACTGACGGCAAAGAGATTTATCTCACTGTAATATAACCAAATAAATTAGCATCCAAAAGAACTTTCTATCAAAGCCCACAAGCCTAGAGGCACAGGAAAACTGGTATTACTGAAGAAGACAATGATTTGGTTTAAGAGGGATAAAGATTCTGCAGGGATTTGATACAAGCTTAGAAGTTGCAGGGGCATTATAGCCATAAATCAGGAGGAAAGTAAAAAGCCTCAGATGGTTCAATTTGCTGACAATTTTTCTTCCACATTTTAAAAAATGTATCTAATAGCAAACAAGGTTTGTTACTGTTGGTTTTGTTTGTTGTGTGATAGCATCCAAAATAGTGCTGGAAGTTTTCTAAACACAGTATAAGTTTCAGTACCACTCTGAAAAGTGTACCGTACATCACTTCCATGCATCTCAGAAGAGTGTTAGATGAGACAGAAATCCTGTTAAGGACCAGATCTTGCTATCCTGACTCAGAGCAAATACTGGAATCTGGTTCCTAGGCCAGGTTTTTGAAAAGCAATTAATTATTGCAGGTGCTTCAGATATTAGTTGCTTAGCTAGAGATACCTTGAAGAAGGCAGAATTTCAGGAAGCACTAAGCTCTGACTAGAATTAGTGGCTTTCAAAAATCTTGGCTTTCCCAGCACTCTCTGATGAGGACTAAATTATAAATTCCCATAGATGGATTTATTTTGTCAGCTGTTTGGGTTGTATTTATCTGCATGCTGTTTGGTTTCGATTTTTATAGAGACCAGGACTGAAAGATCATTCCTAAAAGGCTATATTATATATTCTGCTTTAAATATTTATTCTATTGAATAGCAATGTTTATTCTATTGAATAGCAATGTTTACGACATCCAAACATGAATTGTTTTTGTTAAAACTAAAGCTGAAATGTAAACATCGCTCTGATAAGAGTTTGAGTGTGTTCACTTTCCCTTTAAACAATCCATTTTCCAGTCAGAGAAAACCATCTCTGACAGACCTGTGATCTGTTCCAGTAGGGCAGATCTGTCTAATTCCCTTGTTGGCCTCAAAATCATATTTCTCCTGTAGAATTAACCACTCAATCATCAAATAATATACTGCTACACAATATATTTGTTTGACTACTGACATCTTTTATACATATCCCTTTTATTCTCAGATAAGCCTAATTACACTTTGCTGTTCCTTTTCAAGACACGCCGTATGATTTTATTCTCCTAAGCACAGCGCTCTAAAAAAAGTCTGACCCAAGCTGTGTGAAAACCTCAGCATAATTTCCAAAGATTTATAACCACCTATATTTTGTCCTGACGTTAAGCTTACCTTCTTGAATTCATTTGTCATAATTTCCTGACTGTAAGAAAGAGATATCCACTTGGGAATTTATATAACAAGAACTTGAATTTTTAAGTCTAAAATTAACTTCTCTGATTGATTTCTACTTCCCTAATGCTCACCCTTCAAAGAGAATGCACATAAAGCTGAAATATCTATACATAAAATTGTGAATTTATAGAACTACTACATATATGACAAAAAGAAGGAAAATGAGCCTAGCCTTTTCTCCAGTTCTTCTTAAATATTTTTCTGCCAACGAATGTTATCTCACTTGGTTGCAGCGTGGGTCCTAGTTCCACTCTGTGTGTCTTGCCGTACACAGTGTTAGCCAGCAATGAGATGATTTAGACCTTTCTAAATTTTATGTTCCCTCCTTTAATGCATTCTGTTTCAATTTTTCTGGCATCAGCACATTGGCTATGGGACATCTGTTCAGCAGTGTCACACCTGCAAACAGCAAAAGACAAAAGCTCTGGCTGCTGATAGGAGGATTTCATGAGGATGCAGGGCACAACAGGGTTCTCCCATTAGAGGCATAGCATTGTACTTGTCCAGATTTTGTCTCTCAGTGCTCCTGATCCCTCAGAGATTTGCGCTTTCTTGCAGCTTTAACACTAACTTTATCCACATAATTAGCAGGTCTTTCCTTAAGGATGACAGGTTATCTTGAGTCACAGGGTCAACTTATTGGTTTCCAGTTCCTTTGCAAAAAAAAAAAAAAAAAAAAAAAAGTTAGGTGAGACTCAGCTGGGATAGTCACTACCTTGGATCTCAAGTTGGGGGTCATATAGCAGAAGATCAGTTCTACCTAACTGAAGCTCTGGTTCGTTTCCAGTTCCATGGCATAGCTTTTTTTTATGAGACTTTGAAGTCTGTCTATACTATGATCAGAGGTGTAAATCTACCTTTTGAGGATATACTCAGCTACCTTGGGCAGCAGTGTAGTCATGGCAACATGGAGCTCAGTCTCAGCTACTCACCGGGCATCTGTCTTCTCCTCTCCCTGTCTCTCAACTCCTGGAAAATCAGCTAAAAGGTAGAAAAGACCTTTGTCTGCAGACCTTATTTAGACTATTGGATTTTACAGAACACATTGTCTCAAACACTTCTTTGATGGATTTTTCTGCATCTCAGCAAAACAGCCTCCAAGCGAGGAAAAACATTAATTGCAAAGACTTTGTAAAGTCTGCAGTAGAAATTTCACTGTAGTAGTGATTAGCAGACCATGTGCAATCCCAGAGTGCATACAGGATTCCTCCTATCTAACTTTATGCACCAAAGTGAAACGCATCATCCGGAAGGCTATTCATTCTGGGATCCTTTCCTGCCACGGTGTGAGATAGGTGCCTCCAGCACACAGAACAGCCTCCTCACCACCTCACAGTGCCTCCTTCTCCCAGCTGACTCAATATTGAGCTCTGTGTTAGATTGTTCTTGTCTTATATTTGTTAGTTGAAATGAATCTGCCTGTCCCTGCAGATTGAGGGTATCTTCCTCCTCTTACTGAACAGACAGTTGTCACCTTCTGGCAACTACTTGGGACACTTCAGCCCTCAGCACCAAAGCTGGTAATAAGAAAAGAGACCTCAAGCCTGCTTTGAAAGCCTCTGAAACCTATCGGATTTTCTCAGAATTGAGAACTACCACTATTCAAATAATCATGATCCATGCCTCAAAAATGAATAGTATCTCTTCTCAGTGCTGTGCTCTGATACATGACTATACCTCTGTTCTGGCAAAGGAAGATATTAATACCTTTTCTGTAGGCAACCTCAGGTAGAACGTTATTAAGATTGTAGGTTGGTTACTACACCAGTAATAGAGGGAGTCTCCATCTGAGTCTTTGGGGCCTCAGATCCATTTTCTGAAGTAAGAGAGACTGAATCTGGGTCTCTCTCCAACGGTTTGACAACAGCTTCGATCGAGATCCTACCCTGCGCTGTTGTAACTCTGTGATGTAGAACAGGTCACTCCTCATATCACTCCTTCTCTTTCTCTTTATTTGTTCTTCATGCTCAGTACCTTTTCTGCTCTTCATCTAGTTTTCTTTTTATTCTCTTTTCTTCTGTAAGACTCAGCCCCTCTTTGGCTGCAGTCAGCAGAAAATCCTTACGATGACACACAGTCAAAGAGATTTGACATTATGTGACATGGAAGCCAACATCTACAAAGGGCAGAGAAATGCAGCACAGATTGTGAATGTCAGATACCATTGTCAAAGGATAAGGTTTAATATAATTCTTAGTATGTGTTTTACCTTTCAAAGCAAGCTCAACCCCTACACTTCATTCATAACCTCAGATGGTGATCAACCAGCTGTATTTGTGTTTGCAGTGCTTTAGTTTTAGCTAATAAATCCTGGTTAATTTTTCTTTTCATTTCACTTCAACCCCCAGTTTTATCATTCCAAAAGTAGAGAGAAAACCTTTGCTTAATGCTAGAGAACTGTTGCTTCCTCTCCCCTCACTTGCGGATCCAGTTATATATTTACTCCTACATTCATTAAGCCTAAGATTTTAAAATATATAAACTTTTAATGGCACATGCTTTCATAGTTAGGCACCCAAGAAAGCGCGTTTTAGAAATGTTGAGCTCCCGTGAGTTTAGATCAAGTCAGTTAGTTACGCAACTTTGTCATTAGAACGCACCGTTTTGATGTTTTTAATCTCGGGTTGTGTTTTGCATAAGCAATTATGACCTGAGGCCAAACTTTTTAACAGTAATGCACAAAGCTAGGCACCCGTTCCTATATTTAAGCACTCAATTAAAATGATCTCGTTTTCAGAGGTGTTGAACACCCTTAGATTCAAGCCCTGTTTCTGGGATCTCCATATGCTCATTATAACCCAAATTCATGCAGTATCTAGACAGATGGACTAAGGTTGCCTAAATCCATACCTAAACATTCAATTTAAATGATTTCTCTTTATTTTTGAAATATCTTGCTAGTGCAAAATAAAGAAGTTGATGAAAACGTGTATTTTTTTCCAATGAAATTCAAACAAAATACCCAGTTGTTTCTTTCCAAACACCAGTATAATTTCCAGCACACTATTTGTCCACTGCAACTGTGTTCCTGAATGCATTTCATGGACTGTTGAGTTGCGGTCCCAGTATGTCCTCTAACGTTACTGAAACAATGGAGTAAAGCTTTCCATTGACAGTTATGGTTATATCTGTCAAGAAAACACACATTTGTCAACACATCTTGGTTTTTTAACCCTTCAGATCGTTTAGGTGATCCATTTCAGAGTAGCTCACCCCATTCCACCTGCTTTTGATGACGTGACAACAGCTAAGCCACAGAAAAAGGAAGTCACAATGACGCTGAAATCTGCTGAGGTCTTGTTAATGCTCTTGAATATAGTCCCTGTTACAAAGAATATACTTCTGAGGACTGTTTTTAAAAATTTTAGACTGAATCCTCCCTCTGCTGTCATGATTTTCAAGACAGGTACAGTACGAGCATTTACTTACCCGATTGTGGTATTTTTTGCTTTAGCACAAAAAAAAATGTACCAGTTGTGGCTTTCAGTTTTAATCTTGTTGGAGTTTTCTTTAGCATGAATTGCAAATAGATAAAAGGCACTTCTACTTTTCAGATGTCTTTATTCACCTAGGGACTTATATGACCCAGTGTCTGTACATTTGCTATCAGCTGTAGTTAAAATATCATTGGCAGAGCTCATATTAGCAGACACAAGCCACAACTCACTGGCCATACCTGCTGGGAAACTGTCTTCATGCATTCAAAGCCTCTTCTCTGCTAAAGTGATGCCTGCAAGAATTTGTTGTTTCAATGCAACGAACAAATATATTTTGATATTTTATTTGAGGAAAGGTCAGGGGACTCGGGCTCTGCAAGCATGCAGACCTCCTGCAGCTCTGCTTGGCTTGGCTAACCCAGTAAATTAAGAGTCCAGATTACAATCATGGGCCCAGATAGGAAGTAAACACTTTCATATAAAAACTTTTGCGTGCGATTTTTTTTGTTCTCTAGGTACTTATAATTTTGGCTTTTGAAATATTCTTTCTTCCTTGGAAATAACTGACTTATCCTGTCTGGCAAAGGTCCTCAAAGAACCATTCATTTACGTAATGAGCTCTGACTGTGCCCCCCTTATCTGACATGCCTTCACATAGATCTTTCTGCCATGTCCAAGAGTTGAAGGCAACATATCACACAATTATGCCAGCTAACCACTAGCAGAAGGCTTACGTGGCTAATATCCAGAATTCTTGCAATTCAGCCAAGGCACAAACAGATTATATCAGCGGAGAGAGTCATGCCATCATTATTGTTTGAAATGACCTCTAAATGATACGTCAACTTGTTCTCCAGCAGAATTATTCCACTGGTTTCAGTAATAGTTTATGATCTGTTATGGGGCTTTATTTTCAGAGCTCAGCTAGATTTCTGAAGGTATCTGTTGACATGATATTAACTTTCGTTATACTTTTCAATATAACTACAAGGTGTCCACAGTGAGAATTTTTGGATTATAATACAACTTTCTTTGCAATGTTGCATGCACATTTGTCATCAATTTTTAAAAAAGTTTACTTCAATATAATTCACATCAGCTGAAAATAGGTTGGCAGACCGTTAACAGATGATCACAGTAAATATATTAAGAAGTATTAGCTGAATAGAAGACCTCAGCCATTATTTGTGCAGATTTCAGCCCAGTTTGAGTATACAATTAAAAAATATTAAGGATCTTTCATCCAGTTCCTCAAGTTATTCCATATCCACCAGGCTCCAACAATATTTCCTTCTTCATTTAGGAGCCTGTAAAGGATCTGAGTACTTCTGAAATTAAGTACTCAAGGGTTTTCTCGCAACCACCTAAGGCAGTGGATAAAACCACAGTTGACTTCAGAGGGTCCCCAAATTAGTTTTTCTGTGATGAGTTTGCGTGCTTTGTCTATGTTCTGACCATGTCAGGGGAAATTGGAAATAACAAAGCTTTTTACTTTAGACACTACATCAGGTAAGTGTAAAAGAGTCAAAAGTGGAATCCGTAACCCACAATTCACTTTTTCATATGGCATAGTCCTAACTTATTGTTTATCATTAATGTGGAAAAAAATAAATAAGGTAATATTCTTGCTGTCAGCAAGAATATCCACGAATCTCTCAGTTCACATTATGTACCCTAGTCATTTCAACAGCCAGTGTAACTTAAGCGTGACCTACAGCAACACATTATTTGGAAATGATCCCCTTGATAATAGGGATGTATGTCCATGCTGCAACTTGACAAGTTTTTATCTCCACTGCAGGGGAGAGTTTAACTTTACGTCTCTCCCGTATGACATCACTGGACAAACACATTTTACTAAGCGTACTTGAACTTCATTTCCTCTCTGCTAAGATCTTACTGCCTTACCTAATGCAGGTCTGAGGAAAAGAGCAAAGTGAGCAGCATTTACAGAGACCTCAATGAATGCAGAATAAATCACATTATATCGATCACATTATTTCTGTGAAGCAGCTTGAGTCACAGGCTACCCTGCAGAGAGAATCAGAGGAAAGGGAAGCTGAATCACAGGACATCTTCTGTTTGACTAGTGAAAGCAACAGAAAGCCTGGAGAAGCTACAGTAAAGAATCCACTCATTTAGTCAGAAGCATCTAAAATTTCAGTGCCCAGTCCAACCTTGTTGTCTAGGTTCCCTCCACAGTCATGGAAAAGGGT